AAAACCTACCTCCCTAGAGAACAGCCCTTGCCAATGACTTTTGTCTGCTTCTCTCTGAAGCTGGGAGGGACCTGAAATCATAGTGATAATGCACTTCCCTAAAATCACCTGTTCATGCACTCAATGAAACTTTGTATCACTTTCATAATTATCAAGTTCATATACTTTGTGCATTTTTCTATTGAACTATCTGTTTTTTGTGTTTGTTCATTGAAAAACATTTATATGTGGATATTAACCGCTTGTTATACATATTGTTTACAGCTTTTTTTTTTTTTTTTTTAATATTTTATTTATTATGTATACAGTGTTCTCTCTGCAGTCCAGAAGAGGGCACCAGATCTCATTGCAGATGGTTGTGAGCCACCATATGGTTGCTGGGAATTGAACTCAGGACCTCTGGAAGAGCAGCCAGTGCTCTTAACCCCTGAGCCATCTCTCTGGCCTGTTTACAGCTTTTTTTTTTTTATTCAGCCATATCCATAGTTATTTTTATTTATAATTTGGGATTATGTATCTTCCTTACAAAGGTTACTAATTCCTATATAAATCATAGAGAGATCATATTTTTATTACTTTAGAAAAAATTTTAGATTTTCCTTCTTTCCTTTCTTCTTTCCTTCCTTCCTTCCTTCCTTCCTCCCTTCCTTCCTTCCTTCTTTTTCTTCTTCCTTTCTTTTGATTTTTAGACATGACTTCATTATGTTGCCCAGGCTGGGCTTGAACTTTCAGGTTCAAATAATCTTCCTTCCTCCAACTCTCAAGTAGCTGGGACTACAGGCATGCCCACTCACTACATCTGGCTCTCAATTTAGATTTTTAACCCAAATTTTAACCCACAAAATTCAGTTGCAGATGATATCAAAAGAACAGTCCTGAGAAGTTTGTCCTTCTGCTGCTGCAAGAGAAAGATGTTTTTCCCAGGTGCACTTTCTGAATATGCCGCTTATGTTAGCATTTCATCAAATCCCACTGGTTTCCCTTAGCAAGGACAGCGTGTGTGTGTGTGTGTGTGTGTGTGTGTGTGTGTGTGTGTGTGTGTGTGTTGAAAGAAGGTAGTCAATATACCTGCTGTGTAGCCATTAAGCAACTATGGCCCTTGCCCTTGGTCTCTTATCTGTTAACTGAGGAAGCTGGACCAAATACTTCGTTATCTTCCTGCATTAGTCATGTGAAGGTCTAAAGTGTCTCCATCCTTCTGGCCAAAAGGGAGTACAGTTTCATGTGGGAGAAAACAGAATCTTGTGTCTGTAGCTGCTAAAGGACATTGAATTCTTTAGGTTTGAATGTGATACCAGGGGTAATGGGGATGGGCATCCCTTGCTCTCAGACTGAACACCTGGGCTATATTTAGCTATAGCTACACCTTCTGGAACAGGCTTCTTGCAATATGGAGCCAAGAGCAGGGCAGACTTTCTGTGAAATAATGAGCTTCTTTCCAAGAAAAGGGCATGGGGCTGCAGCAGCAGTATCTCACTTACAGAAAGTCCCTTTGCTTTCTTTTTTAATTAAAGAAGTGTTAGTTCCCATTAGTTGCACAGAATAATGGGTTCTAATGTGACACGGTCATATATATATATATATATATATATATATATATATATATATATATATATATATATATATATATATATATACACTCTGGTCACCCATCCCCCAGTTCTTTATCTTGATCTCCCTTCCTCCATTCCTATCTTTTTCTCTGATAGACTTTGAATAATTTCATGTCTTTTTAATTTTTTGCTTTTTGAGACCAAATCTCATGTATAGTGATATTTTATTTGTACTGAAATGTGATTTGTATGTTAATAAATAAAGTTGGCCGGGGGTCAGTGCTATTAGCAAGCCATAGCGAAAGCTGGGCGGTGGTGGCACACGCCTTTCATCCCAGCACTTTGTAGGCAGAGCTAGGTAGATCTCTGTGTGTTCAAGGACACAGCCAGCATGGAGACACACGCCTTTAATCTCAATACCAACCACAGAAGACCTGGAGGTCTGTACAGACAGGCAGTGACTAGGAGGTCATGTGGTTGGGTTTACAACCAATGAGAAGGCAGAACAGAAACTCTATAAAAAAAAAAAAAGACAGACACAGGAAGTAGGTCTCTTTCATAGAGGTAGGACCACTGCAGGAGGAAGTGTAAGGTTTTTAGCTCTTAGCTATTGCTCTGACCTCTTGGCTTTCATCTCTGTATTGACTCTGTGTTTCTTACTTAATAAGACAGTTGGTTACATCTACACTCATGTACCCCACATTGGCCCTGGAGGTGGTATGTTGCCCAGGCTGGGTCCTGATCCTTTTGTTTCTGCCTCCGGCATACAGGGATTACAGGCGAGGACCACCATACCCAACTTAATGTCATCTGTTACTTTTACGTTTTGTTTCATTTGCATACATGTATCTGTGTGTGTGTGTGTGTGTGTGTGTGTGTGTGTGTGTGTGTGTGTGGTGTGTGTGTGTGTGTGTGTGTGTGTGTCATATGTACAGGTGCCCTCAGAGGCTAGAAGAGGGCATTGGATCCAAACTCCTGAACTAGAGTTACATATTGTTGTGAGCCATCTAACATGGGCGCCAAGAACCAAATCCAGGGCCTCTGGGAGAGAAGCAATCTTTCTCTGTCCCACCAGTTCCCAAGTAATGACACAGAGACTTCTTATTAACTCTGAAAGCTCAGCCTATTTCTTAGGCTTGTTCCTAACTAGCTCTTATAACAACCCATTTATATTCATCTACTTCCTTTCACATGGCATTACCTCTCTTCCATCTTGTACCTCCTGTTTTCTCTCCGCATCTCCTGGCATCTCTGCCCTTCTTCTTCCCAGAGTCCTCTCTGTTCCCGGAAGTCCCGCCTAACCTCTTTCTAGCTATTGGCCGTTCAGCTTTTTATTATACCAATCACAGCAATACATTTTCACACAGTATACAAATACCCTACAACAAGTGCTCTTAACTGCTTTACTTTTATTTACTTTTAATTTTTTATGGAGTCCATGTATGAACAAAAACATGTAATGTCTTTCTAAATATGGCTTATTTCACTTAACGTGATTTTCTCCATCTCCATCCACATCCCCTACAAATGATGCAATTTAAATCTTCTTTGTGGCTAAGTGATGCTATCTCATGAATATATGTGTTTTCTTTATCTGTTCTTTCATTGATGGACAGGAAATCCCTTTCCTTGTTTGCTTTCCAATATAATTTATTTTCTACTGTATTGTCATGTTCACAGTTTCGATGCATAGCAAACTGGCCTCGAACTCACCATTGTTTTTTAGCCCTCTTGGTTTCTGGGGTTGTGGGTGTGGTTGACTGCAGTTCCACCCTACAGATTCTGCTCTTTAGCTCTGCAAGCCTGTAGCAGCTCGGTCAACCGAGCTGACTGCTATCTACCCACCTGCAGTGACTCCTTGTATCTGTAGCTAACTCTGCTTTCAGTAACATGTCTTTGAACTCTGCAGCTTTTTTTTAAAAAGCCCTCTTTTGTAGATACTCTGTAATATATATTACATACTTCATGAAGAATAGTGCATGATCTGAGAGTTATTATTGTAATTATAATATAGTAATTAAGATTGGAATCGAACCCCGTGACTGCCGATGGCCAGCTATCAAGGGAAATTGGGACAACTTAGTAAGTTGTCCCAACAACACCACACAGTAGAAACTGATTGTTATTTGATAAATTCTGACATAGTGGAAAGGCACAAACATGTCTATCTATGTTTCTCCGCAATAAACAAATCATATCCACTCTATGGTTTGTTCATTAATATTTGGAGACTTATAAAAGGCATGTGCTCTTCAGAGATGAACAGAATCTGAAAGACTGTCAACAGAACTCTAGGTGACAAAGATCCATAGTGACACCACCATAACTCCATCACTCCCCATTAACACCAGGGTGCTTGTCTATGAGCATGAATGTCGTGGCCGAGGTGTTCTCTCCTGGGGAACCCCAGCAGCATAACAGGCTAGGCTCCGTGAGTAATCCTCCCAACTCTGGTTGGGAGCTGCCGGTACCCAGGTTTCCTATGACACCTCTGTCACATCTTTCATCCACACGGAGCTGTGCCAGGGCACAGCCAACTCCCTGAGTAGCAGCCTGCCACAGGCCTCATTTCTCAACAGATCCTTTCTGCACCTAAGGAAATAGCAAAGATCGCATAGACCCACCCACTCACTCCATCACTAAAGCACCTTTGCCTTCCAGCTACTCAACCCCTAAATTTGCATTGTTAATTACATGGGTTTTTCCAGAACTAAATAATTGCTGCTCTAAAACTTGCCCCTCTAAAAAGCCCAAGACTCACTTCTGGACTCTTTTTTTTTTAAAACCTGGGTTAATATAGCTAACAGTGATTTTTTTTTTTTTTTTTTTTTTTTTTTTTTTTTTTTTTGGGTTCTCTTCAGAAAGGTTTCTTCAGGTCAAAACTCCATCCTGGCCCAAGCTTGCTGTGTGCCCCTTGTCTAAAGCTTGTAGTCCAGCCCAGCAATGAGTGATTGTAATTGGCATTTTATTTTGGTCACCAACCAGCTTCCAAATAAAGACACAGAGACGACAACTTCTTCTTCTTCTCCTCCTCCTCCTCCTCCTCCTTCTCCTCCTACTCCTTCTCCTCTCCTTCTCCTCCTCCTCATTTTTCTTATTCTTATTTCTTTTCTTCTTCTTCTGACTATTGTTGCTATTATTACTAATGTTTGACCTTAGCTTAGGCTTGTCCCACTAGCTCTTTTAATTTAACCTATTCTTATTCATCTATGTTTTTTCCTCGGGGCTTTTTACCTTTCTTTCATTCCATATGCCCTATTCTGCTGCTTCCTCCGTGTCTGGCTGGTTAGCCCCTCTAGTCTCCCTGGTGTCTCTTTTTCTTTCTTCCCCCAGCCTAAATTCCTCCTCCTACTTATTCTCCCTGCCCAGAAGTCCCACCTATATCTCCTCCCTCGCTATTGGCTGGTCAGCTTTTCATTAGACCAATCAGGTGCCTTGGGCAGGCAAGGTAAAACAGCAACACATCTTTCCATAATTAAACAAATGCAACACAACTTTACATAGTTAAAGAAACACTTTTCAACATAAAACAAATGCAACACATCTTTGCATAAAGAAACAAATATTCTGAAACAAGTGATGACTCTTACAGACCCCCTTTCTTCTAGCAGCAGGTAGTTGGTGGCCACCCTCTCCCTTGGGGCTTCAGTGCCCTAGGGTTGGTGTTTCATAAATCCCAGAGCAGGAACTGAGAATTTAAGAGCTCCATCTGGCTGGGGAGCTGGCCAGGAACACAGCCAGAGGACAAAAACAATAACACTTCTCTGCTTCCGGCTTGTTCTTTCTGAAGTGTTTAGGGCCTAGCCACCTCAGTCAGAAGGTGAGAAAGTGCAGAATGGTCCCATTGCCTACGCATATGTGGTCCCCACCAGCTTCCTTCTGGGAAAAGCTGAGGAAGGTGTGAGGACCTGAGAAGAAGGAAGCTTTGCAGGAGCATTTGTGTGAGGAAGGGGAGAAATTAGACAGGGCAGATTCCTTCTCAGCCCTGGACGGTCCTGAATGCGCTCAGTTTACCATCTTGGTGGATAGTGGAACTGGTGCCAGGGCAGGAAGCAAAGCGGATCTGCCTTTTTATGGGCCAACAGCCTGTGGACTTCCGGGACTCTGCCTCAAGCCACTTAGCACTGGCCCTTTCCTACTTGGACAAGAATGAGATTCACTATCAGGTGGTTTTGTTAGCTAATGTGACAAGGAAGGAGGTTAAGGAGCATTACTTGTTGGGGGGGGGGGTGGCAAGGAGAGGAGGGGAGAATCCCTTGATTCATTCTGGACTCATACCAAGTCTTGAGTCTTCTAATAAATAGTCCCCCCCCCCCTTTGAAACAACACAGTCATTTTTCCGAGAGCTGCTATTTACTGCCTTGTGGGAAGCCATAGGGCTTCGGCTGCCTGACCTGGGTTCTAAGCAGAGAAGCCAAATTTAACCTGTATTCAAACAAAGGATTCCAACTATAGCTGCTGGGTTTGTTTCACTCTCTGCAGCTGGCCGAGCAGGAGAAGGAGTGGGAACATTCTGCTGCTTTTTTTTTCTTCCACCTTTCCTTTACAAGCAGGAAGTGACCCTGCCCAGTTCTAGTGTGTGTCCAGAACTGCCCCCAGAAGCCAGTTAACTTCTTCTGTTTCCAGCCTTTCATTCCATTAAGACCCCACCAAAGATGTTCCATGTATGCACCCCCTTGCATAAAGGGCATGAAGATGAATTACCTGGAGGCTGTTTGCAGCCGCAAGTCCCTTTCCATGTGCCTTGGAAGTCCCTAGACTCATTGCTCACCCCAGGAGCAGGACAGTTGGGGGAAGCACCCCCCACCTCCCCCAGCTCTAAAGAGAGCAGACATTCTACAGTCACCATCGCCCAGTCCACCAGTCCCCACCACCGACATTCCCTGGGATTTTGTCAACTGAGCCTGTGGGCCCTCTTGGCTGTGTGACCATGGGTAAGTTAAACACTCTTGAGTCTCAAACAGGGGATTCGAATGATGTAATCAAGATGTTATTAACTTGGAAGGTTTGCAGACATTAAACCAAGTGTGTTCTGTAACTAATGCCGAGTCAAGTTTAAAAGTCGATTTGGTGGAGAAACAGGGACAGGTAAAGGGAATGGCCTAGTGATCAAAGAGCATTTGCTCCTCTTCTAGAGGACCGGGGTTCATGGGGACACGTGGGAAGTGAAGTCAAGAGACTCAGAAGTTCAAGGTCATCCTTGACCATGTATCAACTTTGAGGTTCATCTAGGACACATGAGATCCTGTCTCAAACAAACAAACAAACAAAACAAAACAATCTTGCTTAATTTCTCAGACTGTTAGGCCAGATTGGAACTGTTCAAACTTTTTCCCGGTAAGCCCGGAACACAGGCCTCTACAAAAGCCCTGACAGCTTGTAAAGGAATCTTAATGAGAGCAAAGGCAGAGCTCTGCAAGTGATTCCAAGGAGTTAAATACATCTTCAAAGACATCTTCAAACCCTCACGGAAATTCGGTGCTAGATACACAGTAGGTCGTCAGGAAGTGGGTCTGTGGGATGGTTCTAGCTATAAGGCTTTACAAAAGAGGGGAAAATTCACACCTGCTCTGCAGTGACCTGAGCTGACTTCCCCCACATCACCTACTCTGTGGCTACCCAGGAAATAACAGTGAAGAAAACCACCACTGTTTCAGTCTGGATGGTTTCCGTGCCTGGCCTCTCTCATCTCAGGACCTTCTGTCCTCTTTAGCCAGGCCACTCTGGGGATGACAGGTCAGGTCTGTCCACGAAAGGTTAACTCGGGGGCTGTCATCCAGGTGACTGCTTAACCGTAGCCCAGACTCCTATTTACTGGCATGTATTTCTCTGCTTAGACAATCGTGTCTGAGTGTTTTAACGCCTGGCTGGTCCTGCCGGAGTTGGCTTGACCATATTTTGAAAAGTGTCTTCAGTGTTTGTGGTGGTAATTGGCGCAGCACCATGGGCTGGTGATACAGCGGTGTGATGAGCTGGGGCAATTTGAACTGGGCAGCACATATATATCTTGCATGGCTTTTTGCTGCTTCTGTTGTTGAAAGTCTAAGGAGGACATAGGGTCCAAGGCCTTGGAGGCTAGGTATGTGTGATATGTGGAAGCTGGCTGTCTTCCATAGATGGCCTTCTAGAATGAACCAGGTATTTCCCCAAGAGCTCAGTGTCTGGACTTTCCTTCCGATTCCGTATCTACCTGAGGTAAGACCTGCCAGGAGGGTGGGTGTCAACAGAGCCCACTCTGATGAGACCTGGGACAAATGAGTCCTACAAAGAACATGCCACACCTAGGGACTCAGCCACCATCACTGTTTTGGCGAAGATCCCAAGGGACAGAGGAGTGGGAGAGCTTTATGGTGATTTTTGGAAAGAAGGGCTTCGACTATGCTCTGTTGGGTGATGATTACACAGGAAGCTGGAAGCAAGCTAACCAGAAGCTGAGCGCCTGGGACGGGATTGGTGTGGAGAACATATTTGGGTCTATCTGGCTGGTACCGGGAAGCATGGTTTAAGGAAGCTGGCAATTATTGACCAAATCCTGACAGTTTGGGAGCTGAGTGTTGGCAGAGGATGTGGTCACAGTTAGTGTTCATATGAACTCTATGCAGTTAGTCTCTCAGGAGAAAGAACATTTGCTAATCCTGGTCAACCTGACTTCATTTTGAGGTGGATGACTACCAGTAAATGTGTGTGTGTGCTCAGTAAAATGTGTGTGTATGCGTGCGTGAAAATATTTACTGTAGGTAAGCCACAGGAGCCCATGCCTGCAATCCCAGCACTGGGGAAGTGGAAGAAGGTGGTCATCTTTGGCTACATAGTGAGTTGGAGGCTAGCCTGAGCTACATGAGACCATGGGTTTTGTTTGTTTGTTTGCTTTTTAAATAGAAACCCCTCCCCCTCAAAACTTGGTCATAGTAAAAGTTATAAATTGCACAAAACACAAACAAAAAGCAAGGTTGGGAATGGCCAGAATGCCCGATTTTATAAAATTGAGAAAATTTAATTGTGCCCATTTTGTGCAAAAAGCGTAAAAGGAAAGGGTTCCAATGACATTGGAAAAGAGACAGGCTTGGTCCAGGGTTACTCTATCACACAGGGAGAGCCCAGGCCAGTTTTTAGGTAAGATGTCCCCAGACAGCCCTATTTCAGAACTCGGCCTGGCTATGAGCTTCAGCTTCTGCAGGATTAGCCAAGCCCCAAAATATGGGCTCATCACCCACCCACCCCCTCCCCGGTTGCCTTTGCCCTGAATCCTCTTGCAGCTGTAACTGCCACTGTGATAAAAAAAAAAATGTGTGGATCACCCCCACCCCACCGGAGGCCGTCACCCACCCCAGCTACCCCAAGACAGAGACAGGAAATCCAGACAGGCCAGGATCCAAAACGGCTGTTCCTCCCCAGGGACTGAACATGCAGGGCCGTGTTTGAAAACAGAGCCCCGACCACGTCTTCCTGACACGTCAATCCAGTTGTAGAGCTCTGCCCTTCGTTTGACAAAAGCTCACTCACCCGAGTGAGTGTGGCGCATGAACTGAACCACACTCAGCCACACATACTTACAGATGGGCAATCTCCCTCTCCTCTCTCGGCAGTTCCCCCGGTTCTGACCCCATTCTTTCTCCACACTTAGAGACCCCCTCATCTTTCTTTTCTCCTCTACCTCCATCTCTGGATGGGGTTGGGCGGAAAGGTCCCCCATGTCACATTTCAATTAGGTAAGGCACCCTGTTAACCTATAAAATGATATCTTCTTAAAACTTTAAGATTAGGCCGGGCAGTGGTGTCTCACACCTTTCCCAGCACTCAGGAGGCAGAGGCACGCAGATCTCTAAGTTCGAGGCCAGCCTGGGCTACAGAGCGAGGTCTAGGACAGCCAGGGCTACACAGAGAAACCCTGCCTCCACCTCTCCCCCCAGAACCCTTTAAGACTATGTATTATATACATATATAAGAGTAGGGGTGCAGGCTGGTGGTGGAGCACGTGCCTAGCTCTTGCCTGGCACGAGGCAATGGCTGTATCCCCAGACCTTAAGAACAAGTTCCCCGTGGGTTTTAAAAGAGCCCCAGGATACGCTTGCTTTGACAAACATTTTTCCCTCCTTGTCCATTGGTGGGGTAAGGAGAAAGTGTGGCTTGGCAGGTTTTCCCCAGAACACAGAGTTGTTTGAACACTAGAGGCAGGGCGCACAGAACTTGCAGCGCGTGTTGTTTTTATTACACGGCCTCGCCAAGGGCCCCCGCCAGCTCTTCTGGTTTTCAGGCTTTATCGGTATTTTGCATGATAGACACAAGCTCTGCAAATAACTCCTTGCTTTAATGGTTTCAGCGGAACTCTTCTCCCATCTGGTCTGAAGGCTGGAAATTCCCACCTCTGCTGTTCGATTCATCCTCCGATTCGGCCACGATTTCCTAACACTGACCAGAGGAGACCTTGACTTTGCCATCTCTGCATCATCGTCCGTCGATCGGATCTGGAAGACCCAAGAATGTTTAATGCCTTTGGGTTTGACTATCTCAATTCTCTCTCTTAAATATGACAAGGCTCTGGTCTAGATGCAAAGCATCCTTAGCTGAGCCTTGCTCGGCCGTGTCTGGTGCCGTATAGAGGGTCAGTGGGGAGGCCTGTCGGGACACTGAATAGGAAGGACTCTGGACCCACAGGAAGGACTCACGGAGGTAAAGGAAACCAGCAGGTGCAATTTGCTGCTGCTGAAAATGCCCTTGACTCCTGAGGGAAGGAGTGATTTTCAGAAACACCTGGGATAGACCTCTCTGGCTCCCATCCAGCAGCCTGTGGGGGCAAGTAAATCCTAATCACCTGGGGGAGCCCATGGACTTGAGTGGTGCAGTGTTGGAGCAGACGCTGCTACGCGGCACTCCCAAGTTATATGGATGGCGATGTTCTGTTTGCGGAGCCATGTGGGGCACGTGACCTGCTGGCACTCTACGGGCAGCTGAAGTCTCTCCATAAGAGAGAAGTGACCGAACAGAGAGACACTGGGTGACTTTGATGGGCCATGGTGGGTGCCTCTGGCCAACACCTAATGTTTCATGGACTGGCTGTAGCAGTGGCCCGGATGCTGTCGACTGGGCATTGATGCCATTGGGTTTGAATAGGAGGCGAGGCCATCAGTCAGCTGGAGACATTCGCACCCTACACGGTGGGTGCTGCAAAATGGCCTTCAAAATCTCATCTTCAGACAACGAGAGAGAGAGAGAGAGAGAGAGAGAGAGAGAGAGAGAGAGAGAGAGATCATTGGAAATCTATGAGATTTGTAACGTTTACAGCCAGGAAGCCTTTGGTGACTTGCAAAGGCTTCTAAGGGGAACTTGGGACAGACTCTGTGCAGGGATTTATCAGTAGGGGCTAAAGCCATGGCTGCACTGGACCAGGTGGTTCCTGTGGCTTGATATGGAATGTCCCCACAAGTTCAAGTCCTCGAGTGGTACTGGTAGTGCTATTTAGGAAGAGGCTGGAAATTTTAGGGGGTGTGGCCTAGGTGGAGGGAGGAAGTGGGCTGCTGGGGGCCTGCCCTTGGGGCTAGATCTTGCTTAAGTATCTTGTTAAACCAACAGGGAGAAAAAAAAAGTCCTAAACGTAGTTGACTTCGGTTACATTTATCTTGTGATAACCCCAGACGGCAACAATGGGCTCGTTTTACCAATAAGGAAGAAGGTGGTCAGAGAAGAAGAGCACTTCTTAAGTGGTCGCACAGCCTATGAGGTTCTAGCCTGGGTCTCTTTAAGCTGGTATTCTATCACTATACTGTAACGCTTTATTTAGTCAGCAAATTTACTCGACAGACATGTTGAGTAATGGCACATCTACTACATTCCAGAATATTCTAGTAGATTCTGGGTATTCACTATGTAGCAAAAAACAAACAAAAATCTCTGTTCATATTAGGTTTCAAGAGTGGATGCTACTGGAAATGTGGCCCTGACATTGCTTCTGCGCTAGTCTGACCTTGGCCACGGAGGTTACATAAGGAAACTTGAATAATTCTGAGGGCTTGAGACATCTTGGATTCCAAGTACATCCACTGCTCAGCCACGCTCTGTGCCAGCTGCCAGTGCCTCCCCCACTACTTGTCAGTACATAATCTGCCCCATTACACTGATTTAGGAGAAAAACGCAGTTCGTTTAACTTTTGTTCCTAAAGAATGAGAAGAACTTCTGTTGGGAGCAGTTAAGGACAGAGAACCAGAATGCCTCAACCAAGGGCAGACATGGAGGACACAATGGTGCCGACGGTTGCCGATGCCCGTGCAAGATGCGTCCCGTTTAGACATGGCATCTCACCAGCCAGCGTCGTATTCACAATCCAATTCTCAGCCACGTCCTCTGAACAGATGGGATACCAAGATAGGCGGGTCAAAAGTGTTGGGAATGGATTTATACAACGGACGTCTGAAGGATAAAAACGGGCAAGGCGGCCTGATGAAAGTCCAACACCATTTCCAGAAGCTGTGTGCGGCTGTGTGGAGGAGGCACAGGGGACCCAGGATCGGGACAGGACTCCCATGCTTATGATGTGTGTGACCAAGGGTATATGGCAGAGTGTTTAGAATCGAACCCTAGAGGACAAGTGCCTCTCACTGGCTGTGGGAACTTGAGTGATTTCATTTTTCTTTGCCTCGCTTTTCTTATAGAAAATGAAGATAAAGATCAACAAAATATGTGTTAGCTTGTCATCACAGGAAGACTGAATAAGAAGCCATGATTGATATATTTCCTAGTGTTTATCATACTTTATTTCAATTTCCCTCTTTTAGGGCAGAAAGAATGCAAACATATTCCATATGCCTTTCACTGTGAGTTGGGTTTGGCCAGTTGGGTCTTCATGGAAGTGATACAAGCCACTCAAATCCCTGGCTGATAGATTTCCTACAGTTTTCTTTTCCTTCTCTAGCAACCCTGAAAGCCAATGATGAGTCAGCAACAATCAGCCTGGGGCCCTAAGAGATTATATGGGGGGGGGGGGGGGCCGCCACTCCCACCCTATAAATATAATACTTATATAAACACTATGGAATTAAATTCTCAGCAACATATCAAAACCCTTTCTCTCAGATTTTTGTTGTTGTTATTGTTTGTTTGTTTGGTTTTTGTTTTGTTTTGTTTTGTTTTTTTGGTTTTTCGAGACAGGGTTTCTCTGTGTAGCTTTGCGCCTTTCCTGGAACTCACTTGGTAGCCCAGGCTGGCCTCGAACTTACAGAGATCTGCCTGCCTCTGCCTCCCGAGTGCTGGGATTAAAGGTGTGCGCCACCACCGCCCGGCTGTTTTTTGTTTTTTTTTTTAAAATAAGTTTTCATAACCCAGACTGGCCTGGAACTTGCCATGTAGCCCAGGTTAGCCTCTAACTTAGATTCTTCCTATCTATTCAGGCTGGGATTACAGGCATATACCACCATACCCAGTTTAGGTTTGATCCATTTCTGTTCCCTTCTTCCTAGAAGGTCAGTGTGTAAGGTTCCTTATAGGAGCACTTCCCCTTGCCTTCTGCCCCCGGAAGAACTGGGCATTCTCCCCGCCCTCATTAAGAAGGTGGCTCTGAGTCTTGTAGGCTACAGGGCTGAGAAATTGACACAATACTGGTTTCTGCTTCCCTTCAAATAACTTTGCAGACATACTCAGGTTCTTATCATCCCTTGATGTATATCTTGCTTCTTCAAGTAAGGCTTAAAGTTCCCCGAGGGCAATAACCCCGTTTTCTGCAAGTCAAACATTGAGTTTCTTTAAACAAGACCTTGTGATAAGGCCTATGTTTAGATATTTTGAAATTTGCATGCTAATTCCCAATTTGTTGGCTAACGTGTTCTTTATATAATCAAGGATCCAAAGGCTATAACGATCAAGGGCTCACTCCATTGTCAAGTTAAAAAGAGGCTTAAAAATTCTCCTCTGGGGCACGCTCTCTTGGTTTTTGATGTACCTAGTAACAACTTCCCGTGGTTTAGACCTGAGCACCACTCAGTGTCCAGTGTAAGAGCTGCAGCAAGCAGGTGCTGCTACCCTGTGTTGTTTGCAAGGGCGAGGCAGCTTCCTGTGTCCCCAGCCACAGCACCTGCCTACGGAGTGGTTGAAGTTCTTAGTCCCACCTTGGCACACACAGGAAATGGCTCCTGAGAATGAGCCCTTTGTGAGGAGCACCATTTGGGGCACCAGACTCCACAATGTAAGAATCCAGGATTTTTCTAACTGGCCTGGGCTAGGGCCTCACCCCCTCCCATCCCTCCACCGCCACCTCCCCCACCCACCCACCCCCCAGAACCAAACCAGCTGTCAGAGCTGACAGGAAGCTATCCAGTACTTCCTGGAAGGTGTGGAGGCAGGGGGCTGAGAGGTAATGGGGACTCTGAAGAACAGAACAAGACTGGTCTTGGGGAACAATGAGATGGTTCAGTGGGTAAAGGCACTTGCTGCCAAACTTGATGACCCGAGTTCAATCCTGCGACATGGAAGAAGGTGAGAATGGACTCCCTCTCCCTCCTTCATTTCCTTACCTCCATGCATGCCCTGGCGCTCGCTCGCGCTCTCTCTCTCTCTCTCTCTCTCTCTCTCTC